AATTACTTTGCGACTTGCTCACGTCGATGAAAGAACATGATTTAAAGTCACTGATTGTTGAACAATTTACACATCTTGTAGCTTGCAGCAAACAATTCTATTTTTATGAAATTTTATACAAAGCAATTCCAGTAGAAACGAAATATAAATCGCAACGTAATTCAATCAAAGTGATTATGTTAAAATAAGAGTCAACGTTGTCTATTTTCGCGGCGTGGAGTTTTCCGGAAGCAAATATGGCGGTCGCTGAGTAGTGATGAGTTTAAAAAATCATCTGGATATCGCGGAAACGATGATCATCTACATAATAATTATAGTCTTTTACACGTTAACCGTGTAGCAAGATGAATGCACTCGATGAAAATAAGCATAACATGAAGATATTGTCAATGTATACCTAGAGAAATTCGGGGGATTTCAACATTTTGAATCTAATCTCTCGATTAGAAGATTGAATTAGGTTTGACGCTCACCTTGTTGAAAGTAATTGGCTTTTCGAAGAAATACGCAGACCAAGGCCATAAGCTGTAGCTGGGAAAGTCTCTGACGAGTCGAGGGCGGTAATGGCAGTAAATCACGTAAATTGGCGATTTCGGCATTTATCAGGTCCCTTCGAAGTTTGCTGGCACCTTTCGTTGATTTGCTCGCATCTATCCTTCAAGCACACACGGATGTTACCGATACGCTATATGTTTTATGCCATTGTCGGGCGGCTGACTCTACTTGAGAAATTGTCGCGCGTTATAATACACACTTCTACTAGTTTTAAACGACTCCCTGCGAACAACGAGAAATACACGTGAAGATCACACGGACTTCATAGAAAAATGGAAATTCACATCAAAACTGCTATAAAAAAAAAAAAAAAAAAAAAAAAAAAAGAATCTGAAGTTACTCGCGTATCATTGACAAAAATAAAACCATTATTGATGGAATGTATGATACAACACGACACAAGGGGAAGTAATGAGTTTCACGATCTCTGCGAATTAGTCGAATCGAGTAATCGACGGTGCGGCGGACACCGTTATCGAAGGCGCTTGACCGAAAGGGGTAGAAATGCGAGTCAATGCTTGAGAGAGAAGTGGATGGATTAAACATATTTATCATCACGACACGTGATCGAGCATTACTTACCGATTGAACATATTTCGGTGACCAGGAGGACATTAGTAGCGGATCACTTGTAGACGACGAACGAGACATCCGGGTCGGCAGGTTCTCGCAAAACTGCAGCTACGATCTAACATCCGGGTCATAACGCGCTACTACACTGAACACGTGGATACTGGCAGAGGCTGGTTCTCCTGCCTTCTCACCTCCGCAGCCCCCCTTTTTCTCCTTTGCCGCCGCCACCATCGCCACCCACCTTTACCTCCCTTTCCGTCCACCAAGAGCCACAAGCTATCCTCTTCTAACACGCACAGCCTATGATAATCTCTTCCCTGTTTCGCTGTTTATATTCCTCGGTCGCTCCCACTCGTCGATTTATCTCGCTCGTTTATTCCCTTTCTCCAGTTTTTCGCTCGCTCGCACCTTCACCCCATGCTGCTACTACGGTCACGATCGAGCAGTCGTGTCCCTCTACCACCGCCATCATCGCCATCCTCGCCACCACCGTCGGCTACTGGTTGCGTTTCCTGTACATGCGGCTTTGCCCGAATCATTTGCGCAAAGTCCCGCCTCGAGAGAACTTTTCGCAAAGTTTACCCTTGGCCGAAATCGCGCGCCAGGGGTAAACGATCAGAGTAACAGTCTAGCGGGTAAGGCTGAAATTGTTGTCCAAGTGGTATCAACGAGTTTCGAACAAGGTAAATGTTCAATTGCTTACAACAACTCGTAGCTCGTTTCAAAAAAATGTAATTTAAGGTTGTTCTTTTTTCTCTCTTGCAGTTTGCAATTTGCTGTTTGCAGTCGGAACGAGATGCAAGGCAAAGTGTATCAAATGTGTATCAAATCGCTAAATTTACAATTTGTAATTTAAAAAAAAAAAAAAAAAAGAAGAAAACGACGAAATTATTTTTGCATTTCCTCTTTTCTTAGGTATTAGTTCTTTCTTTATTACATACTTGTCAAATATCTCATATTTTATCTTGTACGTTTAAAATATTGTTTTTACAAGATTATTGGCATCGGAGGCAGCTTCGTGTCAACCATTAATGATTACACTGATTAGACTATCGATCGAACGAATTTTCTCTCTCTATTTTTTTTTTTTTTTTTTTTTTTTTTTTAGAATTATTAATTACTTAATTTATACCGGAACTATATTTATTTCAATAATATTGGATAATTTTATTATCACTTGTTTTCTCGTATTTCTTGACACAGTATATTTCTTTTTCTTCCTTTGCGGCAGATTAATTTACTTCATGTAAATCGGAGTGATACATTCTATTTGATTTACTTATCTTAATTTCATAAGCACATTTCGCGCAAGAAGTTTACATTGCTCGAAATAATTGGAATAACGCTGTTGACATCGGTAATTATTAAGCTTACGTGTTTAATTTATTTTACGATTTAGAAAGGTAGTTCCTTAATTATTTTGAGCAGTACAGATAGAAGTACGATAGATGTTGATCTCTATATTAATTGGTTCATTCGACAGTCAAAAATCATACCTAAGCTTAAAGCTATAGTCAGAAAACGGAATAGTCGGGTCGTGAAATTTCTGAATCAAATATGATTTATTATATTTATTATATGTAACTTTTCATACACTTTTTCAAATTACTAACGATTTAAATTATCATCTTTTCCTCCTAGACCATAAATACTTGTAATTTAGAAACATATGAAATCAATACCATCCATCAATACAATTTCATTATTTCATTATTATTATTATTAATCATAATTATTTTGTTTACGTCAATAAAATAAAATAAAATATTTTGTTTATCTAGAATAGATAAAATGCTGAATCACTAATAAATCATATGCACGCATGTGATCATATAACACACGTTAAGAATCATATTTTTTTTATCTCAGAAATTTCTCGTTTTAAATTATCTAAAGGGCAATTAAGAAAATCTAAGGAAGCACCCTGTACATTTTCATTCTTCGAATAATTAAATTATAAACAAAGTAATAAAGAAATCCTTATGTATATAAAGAGATAAATTTACGTGCGAGTGAAACTTATTGATGAAAATTGGTGATGGATTATGATAAAATTATTTTCATGTAATGGTCAATTGTTTGTAAAAATATTGTATGAAAAACATTTTTACTATTACGTATGAAGTAATTGCTTATAATTTTATAGCGGTTATAATCGAATTACATCACTTAATTCTCCTCTATTCGATCCGTATTCTAAACTTCTAGTTCCCTTGTTCTTCCAGTTCTTCTCTCCTTATTTGCAACAATCTGAGATTTAAATTGGAAAACGATTTTCCATATGAAATTTTCGCTAATGCTAAACATTCGATAAGATTGAACTCATTAATCTATAACATAGTTTCAATGTTGCTTAAATTGTTAATATCGTCGGTAGAATATAGCACGGTTTTCGAACTTTATCTATAATATATTATCTTTTTCTATTTGCTAAAAATTAACATGCATCTGAAAATATAACTGCAGGTCCAATAATTATTGCAAATTTAATCTTTCGGTAATACGAGAATCGATATACGTCGGTTCGTTTGATCAAAAAGTAACTTTCTTTTTAATTTAACAAATAATAAATTAAATAAATATAAAAATGAAATATCCTTTAATCTAGAAATTTCTGCTGACCTTGAAAAATTCTTCAATTTTAAAAATATTGAAAAGGTAAGTTGTTGGACCACAATGTGTTATGATAACAAAGTTGTGTTATATATATTTGACTACATATATTTCAGATAAAATTCTTCGACGTTACAGTTTATTAACCATGCCTAGGCAGTAAATGAACTTACAAATTACGTACTGACGGGCTATAAATTAGTATTTTTCATAATGCATGCATATATAGAATGAGGCACTTAATACGCGCATCATGACAAATGTAATACTTTCCGATACAAAATCTTTGTTTTTCCCAAAAACGAAGTTGTAAGCTTTAACTTTTTTATTGTGACGAATAAATTTTTTTTTCTTTCTCAAATTAAATATAAAATAATTATTTGAACATTTATTTAAACATCGATTTGTTACTCTGTTCGAATTTTCTTAACTTTCAAATGATTTTCATTTATTCGTACGTGCAAAATATATTTCAATTTTAATCTTTCATTCTTCTTAATAAAAACGATTCTCTGAAAATAAGAAGACAGAAAATCATTTAAAGCCAAATATACTATATGGAACAGAACAACGGAAAAGTAAATTTACTTGTTTGAACGAGCGCGTTGAAAATACAAGTATTTCTAGCATATTGTATGTTGCATCTATTTTATTGTAATTTACATTCACGTGTGGCTATTCGTCGAATTCCACTAAATCAATTATAGCTTGGGACGCGTAACAACTGTGAATAGCATCCTTAAAATTTTCATGGAATTTATCGTAATTTTATTCTAGTCCAAGATATTATTGTGCAGGAAGTTAATTTATGAGGAAGAGAATTGAATAAATAAAACGCGTTAAGTGACTCACGCTGTACATGTACAAGACATTTAAA